AAATGAAAATATTTTTTTGGGGGGGGGGGGATTATTACATTTGGCCGCTCGGTCAAAAATATTTACAGCCGCTAGCCAGTACACATATATTAATACACTAAATTATAAATCTATAGGCTATTTATTTTTATATGTTTTGGATGGGCAGCTATTCAAGTTAATTTCCCATATATAAATGGGAAAGACAGAAAAATGCAATTTTTACAACACCAACAACTACCCCTTTAGTCCCAACAAATTGGGATTGGTTATATGAAGCTTGTTTGGATAGTTATTACCTATTGTATTAAGTTATATCATATCATTAAATTCATCGTTAGGTAATGACGAAAAGTCTCATATTGCATAACGACCGATATAGTGTGATCGCATCGTTACCTTTCCCACCTCATTTTGTCTTTACTTATTATTTAATAGTCCTATTTTATCTCACCTTTTTATATTACCTCTACCAGGTAAACTACTTCTCTTATAGATTTATATAACAACGGAAAACGATACAATCTATCCAACCATTGTATTCATTATAACAATATAATACGCTACAATACAATACAACACAATACGATACATCATGATAACAATACGTAACAACCGGTAAGCACATTCCATATCATTGTCATCCAAACATTGTATACATTAAAACAATACAATATCATACAATACGATACATCATGAAACAATACGTAACAACTAGTAAGCTCATTCCAAATCATCGTCATCCAAACATTGTATACATTAAAACAATACAATACAACACAATAGATACATTATGAAAATAATACGTAACAACCGGTAAGCTCATTCCATATCATTGTCATCCAAACATTGTATACATAAAACAGTACAATATCATATGATACAACACAATACGATACATCATGAAACAATACGTAACAACCAGTAAGCTCATTCCATTCCATATCATTGTCATCCAAACATTGTATACATTAAAAGAAAACAATATCATACAATACACCACAATAAGACACATTATGAAACAATACATAACAACCAATAAGCTCATTTCATATCATCGTCATTCAAACAATACTGTACGATAAAATACAACACAATAACACATCATAAAACAATACTTACGTAACAACCAGTAAGCTCATTCCATATCATTATCATACTAAAAAATAAAAATTGATAAAAAAATAAGAAGTTCAGGGGGAGGGAAAGAAGCACCTTATCCTTCTCAAATTGTTCTTTGAGAGTGCATTGTGGTCCCAACTCAATCTTATTATGAGTTTCATCTTCTTCCTCATCCTCAGTAGTGTAAAGGGAACTCTCACTCATTTGCCTGCTAACATTTTTCTCACCAGGCTCATGCTCAATCTCAGAATCAGATTCAGCAATTGGAGTTGCAGTTCCCCCTTTACCCTCCTTATCAGAATGCATAGCTACTGCTGCTACTAATTCTTCTTCTTTTTCTCTTTTTTTTGGGAATTTCAAACAAACCCCAACAGCCAAAATTTCAAAAAGGACAATTCTTGACAAGAAAAAGAACAAAAAGGGGCTACTTAGTCTTGTTCAATCAGAACATCAAGAAAAGCCCAAAACTCAGAGACCCAATAAAAAAGAATCTCTTTTTATTGAAAAACAAGAAAATGGAGTCATAGAAAAATGGTTAGGATGAGTGAAAATGAAGAAAAAAAGAATACCAAGAAAACTAATACCCAGAAAGGATAATGCAAGTAAGGAGAAAAAGACAAGAAGAAAAAAACAATAGATGAAAGACAGAGAAATATGGAGAAATAAATGGGGTAATGTGGTGATCCTTAAATTGTTGAGAATTAAATTGAAGAAAATGAGAAATAATAAAAGGAGAGAAAGAAGGAGAAAGGGAATGGTGGTGACTGGTGAGTTCATGAAGGTTTTCTTTACAAGGGATTCCATGGAAGAAAAATTATAATATGGTGGATGATAAGAACCTCCCTTTTGACTTCTTTGAAGAACTAAAATAATAAAGTTTTAATTTATTTGTCTGATTTTGACTTATCTGATATGGAGTTAAAGAAATTTAACAAGATTTTTGAGCCGTATTGTTATAAACACGTCATATGGAAAGTCGGACTATTCAATTTGTTTGTCTGATTTTTGACTAAATTAACACAGACCTTAGGAAATTAAATAAGATTTATCGTGTGGTCTTAAGCATGTCACGTGGAAAGTGAGATGTTTCGAATTATTTTTCTTATTTTTGACTAATTAAACATGGAGTTTTAGAAAATTAGAGAATATTCTTGGATCATATGATCTTAAATATGTCATGTGGAAAGTTAGACGTTTCGATTTGTTTGTCTGATTTTGACACGAAATTATAAGATTTAAGAAGATTTTTGGATAGTATTGTCTTAAGCATGAAAAGTCAATCGTTTCAATTTATTTGTTTGATTTTTACTTACTCGTTACGGAGTTTAAGAAATTAAGGAAGATTTTTGGATTGTATGGTTTTAAACATGTTATGTGGTGTTACGTGAGAAGTTAGGATTAGAGAGTTGTCCAAAAAGGAAAAGATATATATATATATATATTTATTTATTTATTTTTATTTATTTTTATTTTTTAAATGGATTAAAAAGATAAGTAAGACAAATAAATCAAAATGAAAGGAGTATACAATAAGCTTACATGTTAGAGAATAATATAAAATGAATTACTCCCTTTGTTTTAATTTTTATGTATAATTTTGATTTGACACGTAGTTTAATGAGGTAGAGAAGATTTTAAATATGTCACGTAAAAGTTGAAATTTAAAAGTTGTCAAAAAAAAAAACTTTTTATATTTTCCAAATGCCTATCTGATGTTATCTTCGGGTTTGAACCCACAACACTAGTGTGGAAAACATTTTCACAACCCCTTCCTTACAACTGAGCCATGAATCAATTTTGTTAGGGGTTCACAAGTTAATATATATATATATATATACTTAATTTTTTAATACAAATATACAGTCTATAGAAAAGCTATTGGATTCATCCGAATCCACAAACCCCACTTAGCTCTGCCTTTAGGTAAGATTGAGCAATATATAAATAAACATTAAACCCAAGTCTAACATTATCTGAGAAAGTGTTCTCAAGAATTATATTTACACCACTTTCATATTAAGTAGTTTAGACCATAACTACAAAATGTAGCTATAGTTTATCTATTTACGAAACATAGCTACGGTCACTGTATCAACAGGTATTAGTTGTATCAACAAAAGAACAAGTTGTGAATATCAATTATATCAGATGAAAGGGCTGTATTCAAGCCGCAAGTATCAATTATATCAAACGAATATCAACACATATTGTATCAACACATTTGTATATTGTATATTTGCTACATTACATAATCGTAAATACAATCTAAATATTTGTCACGCGGTGTAATTTTTCTTGACATTTGCATAAATCAGCCCATATATTAGTCTATGGCCCATTATCAGCCCAATAAGAAGAGCAAAACATCTTTCTCCAAAATTAGCTGAGCAAAAGAACCGAAGAGAAAAATTCCAATCCCAAATTCGATCGAAAGAGAAAGAGAGAGATCTATCGAAGGCGAAAATGGCGGAAGATTTGGTATTGGATACAGCCATTAGAGACTGGGTATTGATTCCATTATCAGTGGTTATGGTTCTAATTGGAGTACTTCGTTACTTTGTCTCAAAGCTTATGAAGGGTTCTTCTCAAATACCTGATCCTAAAATCGTCAAAGAAGGGTTCTTTTCTAAGCTCTTTCTATTGGGTTTTAACGAATTTTAGTTTTTGTTTTTGTCCTGCTGAATTTGTTTAAGTTTTTTTATTTCAGGCAAGTGATAATTAGGGCAAGGAATTTGAGAGCTGGGGCTAATTATATTCCAGCTAAATCGTTTCGTGCAAGGAAAGCTTATTACAGCAATGAGGTTTGATGTTATACAACTTTGTATTTAACGAAATATTTTTAGTTTATTTGTTTGCTTATTAAATTCATTTATGTTGATCTTGTGAAGGTGGTTGTTTGATATTGGTAATTTGTATAAGCTTGATTGTAGAAATTAAGAATTCATCAAACAAGTTGAACAAGTTTATTTTTTTCTTAAAATGAATAAAGCATGAACAGATGGTGGAAAAGTTTTAAAGTTGAGATAAGTAAGATGGATTGGAACTTTGATAACTTAGGGAAGTGAGGGGTAGTATGAGAGAGATACAGAAATCTGAAAAGAGTGGTAAAGGAGGGTGCTGGTTAAAACTGGACCAAGATAGTTGGTGCAAGTTATCCATTGCCCTTTTGGTTTTTGGGCTATGGAATCAAACATGAGAAGCTCTCAAGGTCTTTTTGCTATTACATGTGTTATAGCAGCCTCTTATAAATGCATAGATGTAATACTGAATGCTCCTATCCTGATCTGATTGTTTTAGTTTGACTCGTACCTAAAACAAGCCAAAGCTTGAATTAGTGTTTCTGGAGGAAAACGGATTGAAAACCTGTTATAAGGGCCTCCTTTTTTACAAGTTTGAGGTGTTATCAGGATAAAATTTGGTTCTGCTTGATTTTTTAGGTAGTATGATGCTTAACAACTGATGATTAGTTGATGAGAAAGATTCTTAGTGAGGAGCATGAACACCATTTTGGGAAGACCACATTAGACTATAGAAGTATATGCAATTATTTTTTCCGGGACAGGGGGAACATCAGAAAAGGTTGAGTCTGCCAGTTTGGACATGATTCTGCCTTTTGTTGTTTGATAGTGTGTTTCAGGCTTCCTTTACTACACTTAACTCTTGCTGGCCTAGTAGTTAAGATGCAGAAGAGTTGTACAACAAGGAGGTTAAATAGTTGGATTACTAGTGAACTCTAGGTAATTACCACCTAGAATGATGATAAGGTACTTGAAGTGAAGAATATGGAAGCTAGTAATTGTTGATTGGTGGAGTGAAGGTGAACATGATATAGAAAAGTTCAACTAAAGTGACCGCAAGCATGTCTATGTGCAACACTGAAGTTTATTTGGTTGAATTTGAATGTCTTTTGTAATTGATGCAAAGAGTCTGGTAGAAACACCGTTGCATACACAAATTTTGAAAAAATAGGGGGACATGGTTTGTACATGAGTAGAATTTTGTATTTATTTATGTGGACTTAATATATTCAAAGTAGTTACGAAAATACATATAGGTATTTACACCATCAATTTCAATTATTGTAAGCTACTAAAAGAAAATCGTTCAGCATCACATATAAAAAAGAACATCAACATCTATGCAGTACATAAACATATTGATAGAGGTTTCTCATACTTCTCTTTCCAAGGGAATTGAAGGGGTTGGTCAAATAAGGGAACTGGAGATTCAATTCTGTTGTAAGCTGACTATACTTTAAAGTAATTTTGTTGGTGTCCCATTGGATGACATGAGCAATTGTGCTTTAAGAAGTAAAAGAAATAATTAGGAACTGGCCCCGAAGTGTCAGAGTGTTGTATACCATTTGTGTTCAACTTGAATAACTAAATAGGTTGGCATATGAGGTTTTTTATTTAAGAAAATTAATAAACCTGAAAATACAACTCTTGTCCAGTAGTTCACTTGTCAGTAATTAAATGGTACTAGCTGTAAGAACATGTTGTTTAGTTTGAATCCATTGATGGAGGGCCTTAGGTTTCTTAGGAACAAATAGTTTACAAATATTACATATGACAATGCAGGAAAATGGATTACTCCATGTTCCCAAGGGCCAAGCTGCGAATCCACAGGCGCAAATGTTCTCTGACCCAAACATGGCTATGGATATGATGAAGAAGAATTTGTCAATGATAATCCCTCAGGTATTATACTACTAATTCATCAGCTAAGATATTTTTCACAATAATCGATTGAATGCTGATGATATATAATAATTTGTGAATCTAACTACTTTCTTGTGTATTCTCCATCTTGCCAGACTCTTACATTTGCATGGGTCAACTTCTTCTTCTCTGGGTTTGTAGCAGGTATTCCTTTTCCCAAGATTTGCATTCCTTATTTTCTTTGTCAATATTAATATCTCGGTTGCATAGTGCATTCTTATCTTGAACGTGAAACTTTATATTATGTTTTCCTTCTTATATTAACTCACATAAATTCGGGTGTTGTTTCAGCGAAGATACCTTTTCCATTAACTCAGAGGTTCAGGGCCATGTTGCAAAATGGCATTGATCTAAGCACAGTTGATGTCAGTTACGTCAGCAGTCGTTCATGGTAAACATTTGCATTCATGACTTAATTTTAATCTTCTAAAGTACTAGTGTTTTTAAAGCTATGTTCTGTAATAGGCAACGCCCTGTATCTTATACTTTCTATGAAACTGCTCAGGTATTTTCTCAATCTGTTCGGATTAAGGGGTTTGTTCAGCCTCATTCTCGGAGAAGAAAATGGTCAGTAGTTTTTGTAGAAGTTTTGTGTAATTTCTTTTTTCGCAAGTAGATGTCAAGAGTCAAGACATGGCCAATAATTTCTGTTTTTAATGTATATTGAGAAGTTTTAATTCCAGAGAACCATTCACTTGGTTTTATTTTTCCCAATTTAAACTATTTATATCGATATTTGATGCAGCAACTGATGATACTCAACGCATGATGCAAATGAGCGGATTTGGTATGGACCCCAGCAAGGTAAAACTCTCTTAGGCTACATGCTTGTAATCAAATTTCTCCATTGATATTCTGCGCACATTATGTCAATCAAGACCAAACTAACTTTCGTATTCTTACCTTAAAATGTTAGTATTTTGTGCTTAGTTCTTAAAGAGTTCCCTTTGGGACCAAGAAATATTTAGTTCGTATCAGTCCTTCTTCGTCCTTAGTTTTTCCCCGTTGCATTTTCTCTGGTACCCTGAAACTAGGTTCCTTTTGATCAAGTAGTAAAGGAAATAGTTTGTCGGTGGAGAAGGAAAGGT